TGCAGTTTGGCTTGAGCTGCGCATAACACCGAGCAGGGGAGCAACGTGGATGCTTCTTGGTCCTACGTAAGTGGCCGGTCTTTCCTTTGCTGTTCCCGGCAGGGCCTTTAGGTGAAGTCAGTTCATCACCACACACGTGTGATATTCTTAGGTCAGAATTCTTAGATCCAAAGAATAAAAAGTAACTGTAATTAACATCATCTAGCACACCCCTGAAGTCATCCAAGTATATAAAAGTTATTAGTCTGGACTCGGCGAACAGTAAGCGTCTGAATTGTTCTGAAACATTTGAATGTGCCGCAAGCACCACGTAGCCAGAGAGCCTTTCTCTGTTGTAAATTGGAGTAGGCATATGTGCTATGGAATTTATGCTCTAGCTTTCTTCCCTAGTACTGGAAGTAGTATGTAAAAGGACACTATGCATGTACTTAGATGTATATCTTCTTGTGGGTTATTTGTATATTATTTCAACAGCAGTCAGGTGTAATGGCAGTGTACCGGAGGTAAGTAATGTGATTGCCCAGTTCAAGGATGGTTTGCCTGCAAGAACCCTGGGGTTTATTTTCTTTGAGTGGGCCTTTCTGATAGCAGAAGAACAAAAGACAACATTTTAAATATAGGAGAAATCCTGGAAAATTCTGCTCTTAAACGCTTTTGAAATGGTCAAAGTATTGCCTAGGCGTGTTGACTTTGGACTTCTGAGACTCATTTCCATCTCTGCTAAAATGGGACTGCAGGCTACCTTGCAAGAGAGCTGTCAGGATCAGCCAGTGAATATTTATGAAGAAATTTCGTGGTGAAAAAAAAATAATATATGCTACATATATTATTAATAATTACGTGAGTCCTGAAAAATACCATACTGTATCACAAAGGTGGTATTGTCCAGTGACTACACTCCTGGCACTGCATGCTACAGTAAACTGTATACTGAAAACTCATACTGATGGAAAGGTATACAGGATTCCATTGGTAAGTGATTTATAGTGACTTCCTATTATAAACAAGAGGGAAAAAATATCCCGCCTTGCTGGTTTCTTTGGGTGGATGGTGAGAGCAGAATGAGACATTCCTGGCCAGGCAAAAGCTGATTTTCTGGATGCTTGCAACGGGGAGCAGAAAGAAGTACCAGAAAGTGAGGTATAAATGGCAATCCCTAGTTATAAATGATTGAGTTTCCATTTTCATAGTGCTTAAAACTTTCCAGTTGTAGAGCAAATAACTACTGTTTTAAGTGATGTGCAAACTTATAACAAAAGATGTTTCTGATGTTTAATATTAAATAGACTTACTATAGGACCTCAGTATATGCTGAAAGCCTACCAACATCCTTTCACAAGAAGCATGTTGCTTTCTGAGACAGAACAAACCACCTTCAGCAGCAGCTACTTTTTGGGCTTCAAATAATAAATATGTTACTGAGTGCAACTGTAGTTTGTTTAGGAAGGTCATTTTTGCTGGCCAGTGGTATGCAGTTGATAAACTTCAGTGTACACCCTATCAAATGGGTCTTGGGGACCATGTGGAATATAATAATGCATCAGCATTGGCTTTCTCTGGAGGGACTTGACACATTGATTTAAGCCTGACGAGTCTGTAGGGGTTGAAATTTGTGTGACAGCCTGCCTTGATCCAACTAGTGAGAGGACTGTACTTCTTCTGGAGAGACCAGAGCTGGCTGCCACCCAAGGTATGTTAGAGTTAACCAGAGCACTTGGGGAGGGCAGGTATGGTGCATCCTTGGTGCCTCGTATAACGTGCTGCCTCTCATGTAGTGAGAGAGGGCTCCTGAGTGAAGTGCAAGATCTGCCTATCAGCACTTGCTCTGGGCTGAGTCCTTGGCTGAGGCTACTCACTGACATTCAGCATGCTGCATCATTTTTCCATTCCTTCTGCCACCATTTCCGGAGATGTTACCCAGTCCCAGTGCCATTTCCTCATGGCCTCAGAGAAGAAATCTAGGAACATGTTGTGTGATGGTCAAGAAACAGAACACTTTCTATACTGAGAATGCTGTTCTTCGATTATATTTACGAAAAAGTCTCACTAAAATGTTGCTTGTACAGTTGAAATATACTTTGCAACTGTTGTGCAGATGTCAAATATCAAAAGCTTTAATTAGTAATCGGGGGTAGAGCAGGTAGGCTGCAAAAGATGAAGAAAAAGCAAAATGTTGGACAAGATTCTCATTTATTTTTTTTTCAAATTTGATAAAATTTTGTCATCTATGCTCCCTCTCTTGTCAGTGAAGAGCCAGACATGACCAAACTGTGATTCTTCCAGGCTGAACAAAGCAGTTAAGGCTGTAGTTACATCACCGGTTTAATCTCCAAAAGAGAGACATGGTCCTCCCCTCGTCCAGCTCACAGCATATCCACGTGGAGGATAGTGTTGCCCAAAGGGAAACAGTGAGGGGAGGTGGCCACAGAAGAGGGCTTCATGATCTGGCTTTGCAGCAGCATTCAGGGGTTAGACAAGTGGGCTGAAACCCCTTCTTGGAGGACATCTTTGTTGTTTGTGAACGGAGTCTGGACACCTAGCCTGGATAAAGTTATATGACTTGAGTGGCAGGTTCATGGAAAGTGGGGTGAACCCTACTCTTCTTTCGAGTTGGATCCCATTGGTTTCACCAGCAGGATGTCAAGGAGAGCATGGGGAATGGTTTTTGTCTCTTTTAATGTGATTATGCGCATCCAAAAAATGGTGGTAATACTTCCTTCACTAAGGGCTGTTCAGACAGAGGTGAGCTGCTTGGATGCTATGGTAGTGCAAACTGAGATATGCTGTCAGAGGTTTGGTATAGCAGAAAAGGGTTTTTGGCAAGAAAAATGGGACCTGTGCTTTGAAATGATGGATTTTCAGACTTCTTTGTACTAACATGCTTTTACAGCAGTTATTAGCAAGAGCTTTGCAAATTATCGGTGATGGTTTTATTGTAACCCAGTTTCAAGTTTCTTTGACACAAATTATTTGTTTTAAAAAACATAAAATATGAATGGAATAATACATGACTTGTAATTCAGGAAAAATCTTCATCAAAGTTAAAGACTGGGTAGCTCTTTGCTTCTGGATTGTACTTTTTAGCTTTGCTACTGCTTTTATATACCATGGGCAAGCTGCTTTCTTTTAGAGCTGGCTAAACACCAGTAAAAAATATTTGCAAATACTCCTTCAAATAAACGCTGGAATTGGAATTTGTGTCACCATTCACACCTACTTTCCTCAGAAGTTTGTACAAGCAATTTTTTTGTTCGTAGGAAATATTTTCCAACAGCGAAAGAAACTGACAGATGCTTGAGAGAGGTGTATTTATATCCAGGTTTGCTCTGGCAACGACATTCTCTATTACTTGCCATTTCCATTTCTATACCTACTGACCTATTCAGTCCTAAACCTCCTCTTTAAAATTGTCTCTGTTAAAAAAAAAAAAAAAGAAAAATTGTTTATAGCCACGTACAGCATGAAGAAGGAGACTTTTGGTGTCGTGCAGTACCTTTCTCTAGATCAAACACTTCGTTTTCCTTGGTTCCCTCTCCTCTGGTTGAAATTCCCATTCAAGCATTGACCCAGGAGAGCTTAAGAGATACTGATTTAAGAAGTGCTGTTTTGGAACAAAATGTAAACCTTGGTCACTTGTGGACATTTATTTATAAAGCTGTTTTGCGAAAGGATGGAAGCCTGCTAAATCAAGCAGTTTGGCAAACATCTGACCTCTGAAATTACAGCTGGTCTCCCTGCATTTCTTCTGGTGAGACTGTGGTCTTTGGTGGTCACCTCCAAGTGCTGAGGACCACAGCTGGGCTGAGCTGTTCGACATGGGTTGGCTGCGTGAGAAAGTGGGCTGCTGGTCGGCGTTGGGCAAAGTCGCTCGTAAATGGAGAGCTGTCAAGGGTTGCAATGTGCTTTGGGACCTATGCCACCAGGAGCTCTGAAACATCAACTTTTAATTAATAATCTGATGGAAATCTAGCAATAAGGTGGATTTTCAGTTGGGAATCCAGCCTCATAAAGAAATGCTTTACTTCATGAGATTTATGCTCTGTTCAGGGGCGTTTTGGGTCCTGTAGGCATTAGTGCTCATGCCGTTGCTGTTCCTTTTGTTAGACTGGTTCTCCATAGGTGTTGCCATTCAGCATCGGCTTCTTACTCCTCTATAATGTGTTTCTGTGTCAGGATAGCAAGCCCACTGAATAAAGCTTACACATTTCTGCCTGGTAAATATTTCTGGCTTCTCTACGACGTGAGGACTTAATGAATGAACAAATGTGACTCTTGATGGGAAAGTGTAGCTTATGCCTGTGATGCGATTTCATCTTTGAAGGCCGTTAACCAGGTGTGCTTGTTACTTGTATCCTTCTCAGCCTGCCCCTGTGACGGAGTCGCAGCCTGGGCAAGGGGCGCATTGAAAGCCACACACATCATCCGTGTATGGGTGAGAGTCCTATTTTTAGTGCATACAAGAAGGCATTCACCAAAGGGCAATTAAGTGGATTTTTATTTTTAGGTTTTGCAATTCCTTATGTCCTTGGGATTTATGTTTTGAAAAACTAACTTTATCACCTACGAAATGTAGGTCAACCTCCAAGACCAGGTTTATTCTCATTATTGCCAAAATAACCAAAACACTTTTTCCCAGACAGGGCTGGTGTGGGAGCGCTGGGCAGCATTCAGCACCGGTTCTGCCTGTGTGGTTCTGGTGAGACTCGGTGAGGTTCTGCCTCACCAAGACACTTTTCTGTAAGGTCGTGTCTCGGGACCCTCCCCACAGCACTATTTTTGACACGTGCCCTGCTCCATGCTCAGTGTAGATTTCTCCAGGCAGGCGCTTGTGTGAAGCAGACCCTTTAAATGTGTCCAAACAAAGATTTTATTTGGAAATCTGGTATCAATTTTGGAATTAATCTTGGGTTATTTTTCTATGTGCCTTTCCATGAACTTGCTTGTTTTAAAAACTATTAAAAGAAAACAGACATTTTTTTTTTTTTTTTTTCTGTTTTCAGAAACTCTGGAGAATGGACCAAATAAGTGTGAAAGGTGAGTAAGGGACTTCACAGTTTTCCAAAATTATTACGGTTTTCCTGACATCACATAGCTATGTGAGCTGTATGTGTAAATATTTGTTACTGCTTGAATCTAGCACAGCTAACAGAAAAGGAACCAGCAAAGATGAAACGTACTGGAAGGAGATCAACGCAGCTATGGCCCTAACAAACCTTGCCCAGGGGAAGGATAAACTGCAGGGAACTACCAGCTGCATCATTCAGAAATCATCACATATATCAGAAGTAAAGACTGTTAAAGTGCCATTAGTTCAGCAGTTTTAAGAGATGAGTCCTTTTTCTTTTTCCTGTCAAACGGACATTTTCCTCACAGGATTGGTTTTCAGCAAAATCAGATTCACACAGATGAGGCAGATGTGGAAAATAGGCCCCCTTTTACAGTACGGTCAATCTAAAAAAGTAGTGTTCCTTCTGTCTTAGACGTTTTCATTGTATTAAATGAAATGTTCAATTGCTTCTATAAAAGGCATGTAAATTATAAGAAAAACTGTTTTTATCAAAACATTAACTTATTTTATGTTAATCAAAGTGCTCATAAGATGTTTGCATTGCTATTACAGTAAGTGCCTTGCTTTCAAAAAATAAGCTATAACGTGGGCATAGTACAACAGTATTATGCCTCAAAATGACAATGCCATAATGCTTAAACTTTGTATATTATTCCAAGTGGGCTTAAGCAGCCTAGGGCTAAACACATTACTGCTGGAGGCCCTGGAGAATTGTGCTTATTTGATGTGTACAAATTGACGAGTCTTAATGAAATTGTTCCATCATTTTCTCTCTCTTTTTTTAATCAACAGTGTTATAAAAATTGTACAGTATGTTTTGTCAAAGTGACAATGACGTTGTTATGCATGTTTCTTACCTGTATATGCAGTATATTAAAATACCAAAATCGTTCCTTTGAAAAGTGCAATACTCTAGAACACACAAGAAATAAGTTAATTGTTCAGATTATTTTGAACTTACACATATGCTCCCAGCTGTGTTGCTCATTAAAGATTTCTAGTTGAGAAGGTTCTTGCCAGACTAGCTGTAAATTCAAGTTGAATTTCTATAATTTTAAAGCTTTGCTAGTGACTTACTGAAGTTCTGATTGATAGAAGTAAAGTCGATCTCTTCTTGTACAAAATTAAATCTATAGTGCCATTTGTTATTTGCAATGGAGCTTAAAAACGTTTCCGTGGTGGAAATTATTACCTTAATGTGGTTTAAACATTTTAATTTTGTATGTACTGCATAAATGAGGACAGTTGATTGACAGTTCCCATTTCAGTGAGAAAAAGCTATAAAATAAACTATCAAAGCCCAAACTAGAATCACAAGTGGGAAATGAAACATGGAAAAATCTTAGCATTTAAAGTGGGAGGGTTTTAAGTAGGTACTAAACCATGTATTAAATCGTGTCTCTAAACTTGACTGCTATCAAGCGTAATAACTAGCATAAAACCAGTTTTATTTTTAACTTTTGTTGGGAGATGTAGAAGTTATTCTTAAGTCATATAACAATAGTCTAATGAGGTTTACAGTGCTTGAATAAACAGTGGCAAAGCCAGAAATGATTTATACTGAATCAGTTATAGAAAACTGGAAAAGAGCTGATTGTTGCTAGGATTTGGATTTTTTCCTGTGGGTATTCTGTCAGGTTTTTTCCTACTCACCCCTTTCCTTGTTTCTCTTTTTGGTGAGCCATCAATGAACAAGACAAGACTTGAGTCCTGCTCCCACTGCGTTTAATGGCAGAACTCGCACTTCAATGGAAGCAGGACTGCTAATGATGAAACTAACTTGCAAGTAGAGGCTGTTCCAGTTGCACTAAAATAGTCAAGATACATTGCAAATGTCAGCCTTCGTGTGACTTCTTAGGAAACTTCTTGATGTAACATAACATGTTGTTGGGTTTATTTAGTGTACAATGAAAATGATTTGATATGAAAATATTTTGTACATATATATTTTTACTTTGTTTTCTAAATTGCTGATTTGCATTTACTGAAAGTGCCAAGCAAGAAATGTATGTCATGACTGTATGAACAGTTGAAGTATATGTTTTACTGACTTGCATCATTATGTGTCTAAGATTCCATGACATTAATTTTTGATACTTTACTGGATTTTGACATAATAATGTGAGTTTATAACTAATAGCAGAGAGTTAATACTTCACTTTTGTTCATACTATTGTAAGTTATTCTGGTATTAAATATTTTGTGACAATAAATTGATGGGTTTTGACAAACTTTTGTGTTAGAAATATTCACAGTGTTTTGTCTGTGTAAACAACAATGAAATTCGTCATGTAAAAAAGGTACTTCTGGGGACTTCTCTGGAGTAAAACTGGAGAAGACAAGCCATTGTTTAAAAAACTTGTTCATGGTTCTTTTTTTAAATGATCAAAGCACAAAGACTAATCTGTAAAACACATCAAGTGGGTTTTAAATTTAAGAAATACTTGGCATAATTTCTTGTTACCATTTCCTTTAATTTATTTTTTTTTCTACTGCTGCTTTAGAGTTTCCTGAAAACACAAATTCTAATGAATTATGTGTGTGTCTTTTATTAAATAACAAAAATCATGATCAGTGCTGAGCCAACAGCTAATGAAGACTCGATAATTATTTATGATATTGGAAAAACAAACATTATTACTATTGCTCTTCTTTGTTTCAACATATGTAACCATTTTAGTAAAATAAATAACTGCAAACAACATCTTGCTGGTTTGAATTAAATATTCATTCATCTGTCCTTATTCATTTGTATTTCTGGTTTCTCTAAACTTGGATAGAAGTGTGTGATGGGCAATGACAAAACAGGAATGCTAGTCTTTTGGTTAATACACCTTGCGGTGAGCAGCTATATGAAGTAGTTTAGCACATCCCTGATGAAAATGACTGTTCAGCAAGTTTAGGCTGGTGACAACATGGCATGATGCTTATAAATCCTCCACACTGGAGGAGCGCAGAGGGAAACCGTAGCTAATCACTGTCCTGAGTGACTGGAGAAGGTCCATGAGCTGGGAAAGACTGGTCATTTAGGGCTTTTTGTGAGTACAGGCTACATTTGTCTACAGTACCATGTATGGATACACTCTGGCTGCGGAGCCTTGGTGGAGAAGAAGATGCAGTCAGCCCATCTAGAAGTTCAGTGCTCATAGTAATGAGAGCCCAGTGCAACTGGTCTCCTAATTTGCCTCAGCAAAGTTCCTCCAATTGCATGGGAGGAGTGACAACTAAGGTTTTGGTGGGCACTTGGCACTTTCAGGTTTTGTGTCCTGCTTATCTGTGATATATGTATACCACTGTAACATCTGTGGCCATCCAACATGACAAAGGAGATTTGGATGTTCAGTTGATAATGTGAGTTCCTGAGGGAATATGTATAGCCTGACTTTTACTGTTGGGATTGCATAGAAACACCCACATCCTAATGATGCTGAGCTTCTTGGTATCTACTTCGTACTCGAGTCTGACATGAAGAAACCAACTCATTCTGCTCCCAGCTACTCTGTCACATCATTTGCAAGAGCTGAGTACTCCCAACCTCTTGTAAACCATGGAGAGTAAGGGGAGCTCCAATTTTGCCAGGTTGCTCAGTAGTTAGAATATACATTGGGATCAGGACTACAGTCTCCTCTTCCAGCATCATACAACAGCTACAACCATTGAGCTATAGTTCTCTAGTTCTCACTTTGTGGCCTCGTGATATGTATGCCAGATGAAGCAGTTTCACCAGGCAGACAGAGCAAGTCCTGGGACAATCCACAGGCTATTTTGAGAACATTTGGTAACTTGATGGCTTAAGTTCTAATGTGAAGTTTGGCAAAGGATTGCGGCTAGACTTGGATGACCACATGCAAGTGCTTGAAGTAACCACTGCACTGTGGGTTAGAAGGAGAAGATGGGGAGGGAGGTTGATAGCACCTTTGTACTGTGCAAGGAAGAATGCATTTAGCTTAGGCTAGGGGAAAGGCTGTGTGGGCTTAGACCTGTTTCTTCATTATCACTTTATTCAGCTAGTTTTTCATTATGTGCCCTGGCTTTGATGAATGATGATTTTATCCACCTAAACTATCCATCAGTGGACATCCACAACACCAAATGTGAGATGCTATTACAGGAAGCAACCTTGATTCTGAAAATGTGTGAGATCTATAATAATGATGAGCTGCTGGAAATCACCATACTCTCAATGCCCAGGAAGTCCTCCTTTGTACCCCCTGTAACATCCCCAGCAGCAGGAGAGAATGTGGGAATCGTTCTGCATCAGTCAAAAGGGGGCCTGCACTGGGGAAAGGAATTTGTGGCTGCCCTGGGGATGCTCTGGAGTACCAGGGAGCTGCCTTCACTCCCTGCTTTGCCACAGTGAGTGAATACTGGCGCGAGGAATCACTCAGGGCCAGTCAGGGCCAGCAGCGTGCTGGTGAGGCACACCGTACCCTGCCTGCCAAGGCACTGCCAAGCAGCGGGGCTGCAGCCACCAAACTAAGAGCCTCCTTCAGGAATCCTTCCAGAGATTTTCAGGCTCAGTGATGCCTCTTTTTCTTTTGGTCTTGAGGAAGACCTGGGCCTTATTTCCCTGCATGGCTTCCAAGGGCTGGAGGAGATGGGTGTATCTGCTGGTAAGTCCCCTGTGTGGGGTGAAAGATGAGAGTAAGTGTGACTAATCATCCAACCTCCAAAAGCTGCAACAAAGTTCAGGTAAGTTGAGCTCCACCAGAGCTATACAAGTCTTATTCCTAGTTTCCGCATTCAAAAGAGCTCTGAGGATCTCAGAGCAGCCCTGGCAGAGTCAGGATCTCAGTACTGCCAGGAGAGAAAAGCAGTTACAACAGCAAAGCTTGTCACTGCTCCTTGGGCTGTGTGCTGCCTCAGATGCCCACCTGCTATGTGGGAAAGGGAAGGGTGCAGCTGCCTTCTATGATGGCTGACCTTCTCACCCATAGCAATGTATTTTTTGCTGTGAACTCCCATGTTCTGCTACGAAGCCTTCAATTCAAGCTGTGCTTCCACTCAGTCCTTAGTGTTACCACACTTTCTTAAACGCTGGCCTGTTACTTGCAGGAAAACGGAGTCTGGACTTGGCACAGCCTGAGGACACCAGACCCTCCAGTACTCCACAAGCAGCTCTGAAGTTCATTGGACACCAATTCAGTGGTCACAGTGACATCTTCAAGGATGACAGACCCCTGTTTTATTCCTGTGTTACTACGAACATTCTGTGAGACTCTTGGAGAATCAGAAGGAACCTCAAAGGGATTCACG